TTTTAAGCTATCACACTAGGTGTGCCCCTTAAACTTTTACAATTCTCCAGACTACTTAATTTGCGGCTGTGCCCGTAGTTAGTTCTTCCTTATTTGTTTTCAAATATTACTTTCCTGAATACACAACGTGCGTTCCATACCCAATTGCCACCTCTTGTGCGGTGGAGTGTGAAAATGCAACGACAGTCGGCAGGTGGAAGGTAGACAAAACGTGTAAACAAAATTTTAGCGCGTGTCAGAAAGCTGTTGTTGCTATTGCAATTGTAGAATTTCATTATGCTTTGCTGTGCTGTTATTCGAATTTTGTTGCCAAATGTTGTTGCAATGCAAATCAGCAGAAAATGACGGCAAATCTTAATTGTAATAAATAAATAATAACCAGTGAGTATAAAAATGTATTTCTAAGAGCAATTCTTCAATAACAACGTCACACATGTATATACATATGTGCAGACACACACAAAAGCGCAAGCAAGCAAAAACAATGCAACACACAAACAAATGTTTAATATGCAAATTATGAAAAGAAAATGGAAAACGAAAACGAAATTGAAATTGGATTTCGCAATACTTTGGAGAATGTTATGAAATACGATTTGAAAACGACTTCGCAAAATGCGAGGTGTGTGGATGAGGGGTGATTTTGGAGCAGACACTTGTGGGGATACATTTTTTGATTATACATGCTTCTCGGTATATTTGTAGTTATGCACATTTTAGTGTCGCAATGCAAACATACGTGAATATTTATATTAGTAACTATTTGCATACAGTTTTCAAATATAAATCTATTTATCTACAAGTTACGCTGTAAGTTTATTCAATAAAGTGAGTGTTATTTTATTGCTGCCACCCGCTTAAGGAAATGCGCAAATTTTGCTTGACAGCTGCCCCGGCGCATGCTGCCGCAGGCATGCAAGTAAAATGAAATGTCAGCCAACAATTCGTATTTATATACAATTATTTATTGGAATGCTATATAAAGAAATATATAAAAATTAAGTGACTTCATAACTTTTAAGGGCGCAACATCGCCACTGAATACTGAGTTAATGAAGATTGGCGCCTATTTCGAAGCATAGCCGGCTTGAGGCAAAGCAAAAAAAAGATTTTTTCATTTAGATATTTTTAGAAGAATTTTTCTCATAACAGCGTTTAATCAACACGTTGATCGGTTTTTTATGCCACTTATTAATAGGTTGCATGTTTAACCGAATGTGATCGTTACCTTTACCCGCTTTTATGCATGTACATATGCATGTCCATATATATTTACGTGTGCTTTGACTCGTATGTTATTTCGCAAGTGCCGCTAACAATGCACAAGCCTTATATGAATGCGTTGCGCTATTGACACATTAGCAGTGAATTTGCTGATGCGCTGAAATTTATTTATTTTTCTTTTCTACGCCCATTTACCTTGACTTTGCAATGCACAGTTATTCATATTGATTTATTACATTGAACTTTCGTGCCATCGTTTAATTGTTGAGGCACTAAATGAGAGGAAATTTCTCGGAATGGGTTTATTTCGTCAAAAACAACGCGCAAGTAAGGGCTAAGTTCTTTAGAGGAGGAGGAGTTCCACTTGTAAATTTCAAAATATCGATTTTTTGTTTCACATATATATCAAATCAACATACAAGTATATGTGAAAATATTTTTGGAACAATTGAAGTTAAACCGGCAAATAGTTATATGTAATAAAATATTTTCGCAGTTATAAGCGTATTTATAAGAATATTTTTTTTCAGAGTCCGTAAGGAAATTTTCTACGAAACGGTTAAACCGATGGACTTGAAATTCTCACACGACCTTCCTAAATATATTTTCCAGCTAATTATCGCAGAAATAAGTTTTTTGATAATAATAATTTTTTAAGCCACATTAAAGTGGAAATTTTTTACAAAAATCGAGTTTATTTGCGAAGGCGCCATTTTGTTATAAAACAAAATTTTGACTAGTCTTCGACTATTGCCTGTATTCATCTATAATTATAATAATAGTTTTTCATTTTTTGATTTGAGATAATTTTAAGCAGAAAAAACTTCCAAACAGCCAGACATTTCTTTTTCGGAGGTCGTCCTGGAAATCGACTCTGGTATCAAGGAGACCAAAGTTTTTCAAAATTAATTTTTAAAATACATTAAGTGTTGTAAATGTATATTAGTTTTTTTTTTATTATTTATTAAATAAAATAGCTCTTGGAACATGCAAATCTCTACTGCTTTAATTTGCTCACTTTCTTGCACATATGAATGTATGATGAAAGCAACAACAAAAAAAGCGCATGCGAATATTGACACATTAAATATAAGCACAGCATCACCGTCAATAATTTCAGGGAAAAGGACAATAAACTTACTATTAGTAAATGAAGACAAGCTAACACAGCGCACGTGTGCGCACACAAGCCAAAGTAAGTACAATAGGTAAAAGAAAAAAACTATTGTTATAACACGAATTTATTGGCATGTGTGTAATTAAGCAGTTTAGAAATCAGAGAGCAATAAAAACAAAAAACGACTCGCAAATACCTTGATAAGTCCTAGAAATGATACTCATGGTGATGTTTTTTAATTTTCTTTAAAATTTTTTCTTATATATCATACCTCTCAGTATAACATAAATGCCGAAGCTTTTTTATGAAATAACTACAATTGGTCAGTGGCGGTAGAAAGTTTGCCGTTGAGTATAATTTCTTGTTCGTTCATAAATTTCATTAATTATTTTATACACTATTTAGCAAACATAATGCCAGCTTCTGTCTGAAATCATAAAAATGTCAAGTCGAAATAAGTTTTTGTCAAACTTCCATAGAATTGCTTCATCATGACTTCAACAATGCGGACAGCTGCCGAAAACAACAAAACGATATGTCTTTTGACATAAGATTTGGTACACAACAGCTGTTGGCTAAAATTATGCGTATTAACAAAATTCTATGTACATACATAGCTGTACATATGTATGTATGAAGAAGGGTGCATCTTAAGGTGTTTCAAGAACTATTCAAGTGTGACAAAAACGTGACGAAGGAATGTCTAAAAATGCACCAATAGAACATGCCGAGGATAACCTAACGGTAAGCATTGGAAAATTAGATGAGATTCCTAGATATTTATTTTTAATTGGAAAAGGAAAATGTACCTCAGCTATATTTTGATAAAGAAATAATTTATACCAATACCAAAGGAGTTCATCTGCTATTTGACGATTTACAAGTAATAAAACTTTAATACTACAAAATGCCAAAACATTACAAGTCGAAATTGTTTTATTCTGCATACGGTATATTAAATTTCATAGAATGGTTTTAACACCTAGAGGAAAACGTCGGAGGCCCTATAAAATATAGGTTAGGCGAGGTTCTCCAGATTAAGAAAATGTTTGCATGCAACCATGGAACACTTGTTAAAAGGTGTACTTAATTATATATTTAACAACAACAAACGAAATAATTTTTGTGTTGTGAATATGTATGAACATATGTATATACATATAAACATACATTTAAGGTTCAAAAGGAAAGAAAAGGAGACTGATGGTCGGTTAGCGCGCTTTGAATGACTGAAGAGTACTGTACAACAAAGGTTATGAATATTGAAAATTCAATTCGCAAAAACATAAAAAGCGAGTTAGGGACGTTGAAACATACATATGTACATACATACGAGTATGTATTAATAAGAGGTATACATTTAAGTAAGTGCATGTACTTAAGTAATTTGGACTGCTGAGCGAAAAACGAAAATGTATTTGGTTTGCCCACACAAATTTATAAGTAAAGGAGATATATTTATATGTGCAAGAACAAAAACCACAACAAAAAAGTGGCAATACAATTGCAATTGGTCGTGGATGCTCCACAGGCTAGTGTTTACGCATAGCAGGGATAGCACACGCTATTCAAGGACACGTGAATTGTGTACGTACACAACAGGAATAAAAGCAGTAGGGCTAAATAATTACAAAACCAACAACAAAAGCAGAACGACTACATCGACTACAAAGCATGTCACAAAGACAAAGTATATATGTAAACACATACATATCTACAAGCAGCTGCTGAGCTGCTGTTTTGCAGCCACATGTCGCGCCACACACTTTTGAGATTATGATGAGTTCTACAATATACATACATAAAGATATATTGTTCGCCAAGCTATATGGTGGTGCCTGTGGGTATGTTAAATGCTTATAACCTTCAACAATTGCCGGCTAAAATCGGTTAAAATTGGAAAGGCACAATTAAATATACTTAGGCATTTGCAAAATTATTTTGAATCAAACAGTACAGTCACTGATCACTTATGTATCCCTCAGACACGCAAGCACCCACTCACCCACCCAATCAGTGCTAAGCCAATGTATATTATTCATATATTGATTTTTAACCCAGGTGCTGATTGCATCAGCGTGATAGTAGTTGCATGAGTGTAATAGATTTCAGTTGTTCACCCGCAGTGCAATTTTGAATTGAAAACTTAGCATGTAACGCCAAATTGCCCAAATATTTCAAAGAAGTTAGATGATTGCTGGATTCTGCGTGCTACCAATAACTGTTAGCTTGTTACGGGTGGCGCCAATTGCGGCTTTTCTCAACACCCGCATAGTTGCACGTGTGTGTCATCAAGTGTTTGTACATTGTGCCGCATAGGAACAATTTTCGCCTACTCATATATCTTGCTACCTGAAAATTTTTGGTCACTCATTATCATTGCTTGCTTTTATCATCTTGACATTCACATGTCTTTCTCGATAACCTTTACAATCTCCCACCGCACTTTTTAATACCACTCCTCCATACTTCACACGCTTCATCAACCTACATTTTTCCAGACACATTTTACTCACTGCGTACCGTTAACACTTTTTTCTGGTTTTTTATCACTTATAATATGCATTACATTTTGATTAATTTAGCACTTCCATTTCACATTAGATAATCTTTGCAATGACTTAATCATTTTACAATTATTTTTCTTTGTAGTACTCACTTGTATGGCAAATATTTTGAAATCAATTTTTCCGACAACTGCAGCAATAAATGGAAAATTCTGCCAGTGAGAGCGAAGCTGGACTGACTGGACTGACTGCGCGAATATCGAGCAAGCGCATGTGTTTTGTCTGTTCTGTACTGCAGCAGAGAACGTAAGATAATTTTTTTTTTCTCTGTAGAAGCTCAGTCGCATTTTCAAGTTGTGCGCGTGTGTGTGTGTGTGTGAATATACATGCATTTGACATTTGGCGCTTCCGTTTTAGGTTCTTCCGCTAATAATTTTTATTTTCCAAAAAAGGGTTTTTTTGTCATAATAAAAAAACCTAGCTAATAGTTAACATAATTATATTTACACCATTACATCAAAAATATTGCTTATGTCTTAATGTTATTGAATTGGATTATCAAAATATTAAATGCTGTAACAAATTAACTGTTATAACTTAGCTGAATTAAACAAAGCTTAATACATATTGAAAATTAAACTTCATAGAACGGAATACCTGTTTAAGTCTGGAACTTATAAACATTTACATTTTAAATATTTAATTATATTTACTTCTCCTGGATAATTGTGAATGGCAAAGTTAAATTTGAGAGCAGCAGCATTGTGAGTAGCAATAAATGACAGCTCGTTTTGTAAACAAAGTAAAAACAATAACAGCGAGTCATTGCAAAATTTTTGAGCTGCGTACGATATATAAAAATGGTAAATATTTCAATAATTACACATATAAACAATATCTAAAATAACTTATTTTTTGCTGTCGCAGTTTCATTTTAACGGTTTCAATATGGAATTCCTGGATAATGGTCGCAGCTTCCAGGAAACATACAAGTGCTTCCCTGTGGCCATGTTGCCCGGCAACGAAAGAGAAGATTTAGAACGTGGTGGCAAAAGTAGGTCTTTAATTTAACACACATAAATGCGAGCATATTAGAGTAATCTTTTCTTGAATGTATGTATGTACAATAGTAATAATGCCACCATCAGCATTAGATGTGCTAACACGCCACAACGTTGAATATCCAATGCTCTTCAAGTTGACGAATCGTGCGCAAAAACGCACAACACATGCTGGTGTACTAGAATTCGTTGCCGAAGAAGGTAAATGCTATTTACCTTTGTGGATGATGCAAAATCTTTTGCTTACGGAAGGTTGCCCTGTTCGCATCGAAAGCGTCAGCTTGCCAGTAGCAACCTTTTCAAAGTTTCAACCACAAAGCACTGATTTCTTAGATATTACGAATCCCAAAGCTGTATTAGAGAATGCTCTACGTAATTTCGCTTGTCTTACCACCGGTGATGTAATTGCTATCAAATATAATAAGAAAGTTTATGAATTATGTGTGTTAGAAACGCGTCCTGGTAATGCTGTCAGCATTATTGAGTGTGATATGAATGTAAGTTCTTTGTCAAATTTATATGTATATCTAATTTAAAAAGACAAATACTATTAATAATAATACCTAGGTGGAATTCGAAGCTGCTATAGGATACGAACCTAACAAACTTAAAACTGAAGAGCCCCCTGTAGAGGAACCACAAGATCATGTTATGGAGGAAGTAGTTGAAACATTTAAAGGTTCCGGTGTACGTTTGGATGGTAAGAAAAAGAAAGATAATCAGCTAGACACGCCTGTAATTAAAAGGGTAGGTTTAGAAAGTTTTGTAATAAAACCGATATGCTTTAAAATCTTCGTTGCTGCAGGTACTCGCTCGTGGTGTACCCGATTACGATTACAAGTTTGGATACTTAAAATTTGACCGTTCTATCAAACCAATCAACGAACGTATTCCTAAAAAAGACGGTGAAGAAGATGAGCCAGAGACTTTCCATGGTCAAGGTTTTTCAATGAAGACACGCAAATTGTAAACTTATATTACGTTATTTATACTAACATAGTTTAGAAAACCTTTTCGAAAAACAATGCAAAATAAATTTGTTCATTAAACTTTAATAATCATAGAACTCCAAAATGCTCTATTATTCAATACATTTACAAATTCAAAGTTAATTTAATTACTTCGTCTTTTTGCTGGGGCGGTGGTGATGTGAGAGACATTGCCGGTAATTTGCGTATTTTTCGGCCATGTTTACCTTCTTTTCGTTTCCACAAACCGGAACGTGGACGATTACCTAGTTGACGCATTCGTTGTGCGCTTCCAATATGTTCTTTATTGTGCTCAACATTGGATAGACGACCTATGTTATATAAACACGTTTAACACATAAAAAAATTGTTATAAATAATTATATTGAGGTAAATGTCTTACCAACTGTAGCCATACACGTACGATCATATGCAAATTCTCGTTTTGATGGTAACTGAACGACGACTTTATCATCAAATTTCCGTAAAATGGTGCCAAAAGTACCTGCGGCATGTATCAAGTGAAATGGATAGCCGGGATTTTTCTCCAGGTTATGTATGCGTGTGCCAACTGGTAAAGCACCAAGGGGGTAGGCATCTCCTTCATTTGGGCGTACTGTAATATACGTAAAGTTATGTATATCATACGTATATACTACGTATTCGACAAGTTTACTCACCAGGTATACGCGGTATAAATCGGGATGTTCTTATGATGTCACCAACTTTCATATTTTCTGTTGCTAGTATGTATTTAAGTTCATCTCCTACGCCAACAAGTGCCACCTTTGCAGTGCGACAACCATCATCGATTATTTCTATCACAAGCTCCTCTTGTGGTGGTCCTTCCATTGGCCCATCCCGTACCCATTTCACCCAATGGAATTTCTGTTTTATTCCACCACCTATGCCTTTAGCCACCAAGCGTCCGGACTCTGGATCACGCCCTGCTAAATGTGTGATTTTCAATGGTTTTATGGTGTATTCTTCAGGGTAGTGCACCACACGTCGGAATTGATGACCAGCACCTGGTTTCGGCTTTTCTACCACCTTGCACTTTCCACGAACTTGAATACAAGCAGTCACAATACTGCCATTGTTTATTAGCTGATGCCGGGAAGCGTTTAAGGTAAAATTAGCCAACAAACGCGTTAAGTTATTCATTTTTTTATATAATAGAAATATGAAGGGAATCGGTTGCTGTTTATCCAGCGGTCTTAAATGTGTCCAAATGGGGGTGATCAGATGTTTATAAACACGGTTGTATTATTGCGCAAATTTTAAATTGACGATTATATTTACCAAAAACTATTTTTATGAATATGTCATTCCACTCAATAAATATTCAAAAATATACGTATTTATCTATTTTTTTTTTATATTATATTCAGTTTTTTTTAGAATCTGTCTTATTAATAAAATGACAATAACTAAATTTGCTGACAAAAACAATAATGTTGAAGCACAATGCAATGCAAAATATTTTATAAAAATGAAGGTGAAATCATTTCAATCGAAAGGGGAGATCTAACGAATAATATCGTTTTAGTCTCCTACTTTGTTGACTATTATCCAGCAGTTGGATCGCGAGTACTATTTATTTTATAACAAAAATATATATATAAGCAGAAAAATTATATCAATTCTTAAAAGCGGTCATAATATTGGCTAAAAATTGCTTTACTTCAGAATTCTGCAATAGAGCACGTTTTTTGCCACTCAAAACCATACCTAAGATATCTGGGCATTTCTCTTTATCACGGGAGTACACATCTCGACCGTCCATTTCATCACCACCGCCACCACTACCATCCTCCACGCCGGGGGATAAGCATAAAGCACCGGCGCTTCCACTATGCGCTGCACTACCAGCCGACGTTTGCACTACGTTACCCACCAATGTTCCCTGTGCTTTGTGACGTTTGTTTCTGCGAGTTTTTCCGCCATCTTCAGCACTTATTTGCATTTGTGTCAGCGATTGTGTTTGTATTTTGGTGGTGTTTTTGTCCGTTCGCTTTTGATAGGGTCTTCGTGTTTTGGCTGGTTCTTTCTGTTGTTGTTTCTCTTTCCTTTTCGATGTTGATGTCGGCGCTGTGACGTCGTTTACTGTCGAATTCACGTTCACGTTTGCTGATTGCGGTGCTGGCGCTGGTGCTGCAGTTGTCACTGTTTCTCGTGCTGTATTCCCAGAAGGGTGAGTAATTATTTTTGTTTGTTGCGGTTCTATGTGGAGTTCCTGCTCTTGTTGAAGACGTCGTTTCACGTGCAAATTTAGACGCTCCTTAATAAAGCGACGCGGCTGTGCTTCCGTTTCCGGTATTTGTGGTCCTTCTGTCTTAACAATTTGCAAATTTTCCGGTAATTCGGCCATTGTGTCCCCTTTCACTGCTGTATGTACTATTCCACTTTTCTTTGTGGCTGACAATTGAAAACATTAAACGATATTGGCAATGCTGTAGCAAATAACCCAGCTAACAATTATAAATGGACCAGAGATTGCAGTGTTAAGAAGCATTTTCCGAACAATTTATAGAATATGGGTAGAAAGTGATTGTTTTGCGTAGTTAAATGCAAAATGTTTAAATGTTGTTATGTATATGTATATTCTAATTGAATTAATATATTTGATCTGTGTTTTCATCTCGCTGAAATTGAAAGGAAAATATTAGTTGGGTAGTGCAATTTGCTCGTCTCCACCACCTTGCCGCGCATGACACTTTGCGCATATGTTTACTAAATCGCGCTCGTTTTGTTGCGTGCACTGGTATTTGTATTTATTTTTCTTCCACCCTTCCCTCGGTAGTGAAACAGCTCCCTTACACTCTATACAAGTGCGCTATTCTGCAGATGTCATTTGCGTGTGTATTCAGCACAGTGCTGCCAACCATCAGATACACAACACACCCTGTGTTGCCTGTCTTCTCGTTGGTAAGAAGAAACGTGTTTTGTGCAGAATTTTCAGTTCTTCATTTTCGATTTCGGTTTAGAATTTTGTTTGTAAACACGCGTGTGGCAAAAAAATATATATTCAAATCTTGTTGAAAATTAACTTTAACTTTCGTGGTAAGTGTAGTGCATTGAGAATGTTAGGTTTGTTAAATTTAAGAACAAATTGGTGGGGCTACCGCTTATGAGCGCGCTGTTGCTCCCCAAGATTGAAGCGGCTTTTCATTTTCCAATAGATATACGTGTATATGTGTGTTTTTGCCTTTGCTCTGTACCTTCGTTGTGTGTTTTTCAATATTAGTGTTTTTTTTTTTGATTTATTATTCTCGTTCGCAGTTCTGCTCAGCACAACACAAACATACAAACATAAAACGGCAGGGAAAAACAACAACAGCAACAACAGTAAGAAAAACAAAAACGACAAAAACAACATAGCAATCAGCCATTAGCCAACAGAGCCTGAGCCGTAGCCGTAGCCATAGCCAGCCAACGAACGACAGAGCCAAAAAATAAAGTGAAATAAATAGAAGAGGGGATGTGAGCTGCAAACGGAACAGGATCGATCGGATGTATTGAAAAGAGAAGTGCGCAAAGCGTGCGGAAAACAATTCAAATTTGGAAAAATCTTTCGAAACGCAGAAAAGGAAAAAACCTTGAGTTTTTATTGTCAAAAGTGACGAATTAAAGTGTTAATATTAGCAACAACGGGACAGTGGCCGAATGTGAATAGTGTGCAAAACGTGCAAGTAAAAAAAATTATATATTTTTTGTTAAAAAAAAGAGGAATTATTATTTTAGTAAGGACAGAAAATTGTGTAGAATAAAAATATAAGAATCATAACAGAAAAACAAACGCACCATAACATAACCAAGCGCAATTGTGGCGTAGCGCTAACACATTTTTTCGTTAGGAAAAAAGTGTAGAAAAAGCAGAATTAAGAAAAAGGCGCCGCATACAAATGGAATTCTTCCCCCACCAACAACAACCACATACAGCTCAGCAAGTGGATGACGGTTCTATATCCGGCCCGGCAACCAATATAAATACTATCAGTAGTAACAACAACAACAACAACAACATAAACAACGTTCGTAGCACAAACAATACCCCGCCCACCTCAAACACATTAAATAGTGCAGCAACAACGGACACCGTCGACGCTGCAACTGTAGCCATCGCCAAGGATATGCTCCAGTTGCATCATGGCAGTGGTGCGATACTAACAAATAATAACACGAGTAACAGCAGTAATAATAATAATACTAATAGCGCAGCCTTAGAGGCCATGAATACATCAACATCATCTAACGCCAACACCAATTCGGTAGTAGTTGCAGCTAGTAGTGGCAACAGTACAACCAATAGTGGTGTCGGTCCTAATGTAGGCGCCAATCTGAATACCAATCACCCACCTGCCCATGCCTCAACCGCCAGTAATGCGGGCGGCGGTGCATCAAACGTTTTAACTGCACCTGACAACGCGCTCGGTTTTCTAAAATACGACCAGGAATTGTTATACATCACCGAGCCATGTACTATTATTGGACGAAACTCATCAACATCGCATGTACACTTTCATGTAGCCGAAAACAATTTGGTGTCGAGAAAGCATTTTCAGGTTCATTACGATGGAGATGCACGTGACTTTTTTGTGCAGTGTTTAAGTAAAAATGGCATTTTCGTCGATGATTTTTTGCAGCGACGAAATGCTGATCCGCTTCGATTACCTAACAGGTTAGTTAAGCGCCATATTTAATATTGAACCTATTACATGTGTATCTATACCTAAATATATTAAATACCATATTTCTGAAAAGCGCGGAAAATTATTGCATGATGAAATTTATCAACTATGTGCATATGTATTTGTTTGTATAAATAGTTGTTATTCCATAATTTTTTCTAGTTCTCCGAACTATGAGCAAATAGTGGAAAACGCAACTTATCTTTAAAAATGCGTTTTATCTTTAAAAATTCAGAATTAAAAATTTTAAATTTTTTTTATTTTATTTTATTAGAAAGTTATCTAATACAAATTTACTTTTTCAGCTGTTACTTTCGCTTTCCCAGCACCGAGATTCGCATACAATTCGAGAGTTTTGTACATGGTGGCGCTGTAAATGCTTCTGGCGCGCTAAATAACTTGAACAACAGTGGCATATCGTATCATAACAATAGTCACAACAATGTGGCTGCCCTGCAGAACAATAGTGGATTAGGAGGAGGTGGCGGCAGCGGCAGCGGCGGCGGTGGTGGTGGAAGCGGAGGTTGTGCTCAATTCATTATTTCGCCTGCGCCTCCCGATGATCACCAGCATCCGCATGCGTCGTCTGGACCAACATCGCATGCCTCAACACATGTATCTCATCACCATCAACCGCATGTGTCCTCTAGTGCTGTGTCATCGTCAACACATCTTCTGCCGAATATGGATAATTCAAATGTGTATTCACCACTCAAAATATCCATACCGAAGAAGGAGCAGAAGAGCCCATATCTATCACCAACTGGCAAGTGGAATTTGTACTGTTTCTTATTCAAACACAAATGTGTATGCATTTGCATAAGTACACACTGAGAGAAAATTAATTGCATATTATAGCAAATGCGTACAGTATAGCATTAGATTTAATTACGTTTCAGAAAAAATTACAATTCGATTATTATCATTTTTTTTTTAATATTTGTTTTGCTATTATGTACTGGCATACAAACTTTATTACATTACACTTGACGCAGTGTAAACAAATGAAAAAAACAAAAACATTGAAATGTGAAACAAAGCGCCGCTTTGTGTGCACACTAAAAAAACGAATCAGAACAAAACAAAAAGCAAATATTATCTGCAAAAGCGCACTAATGTCGTATTTACATACAATTACATGTACACATGCGAATTTTTATGCTACCTTCTACCATTTTTTTTATTACAAAATGCGTACACAAATGCGTAATTATGTCTTGTGCAAATTTTTTTAATTGCAAACGTTGCACGTGGCTCTAAATTAATTTTAGAAATCTACCAACAACAACACGAACATGTGAATGAGGTTATAACTCTCTTACGTCATTAAATAGCCGGAAATGTGTTGTGTAGAGGTTGTAACATGTAAACATTTCCAAAAAATTATGACACAAAATAGCTTTTGCAAATGCATACTAGTAAAAAAAAACATACAACTGTATTTAATTATTATTTTATTTTAAAAGTCCATTATCTACGATATTATTTCATCATTATTTATTAATTACACTTTAAAACGGTAGCAAAATAAAGAAAATTTATTTTTATGTAATAAGTATTAACAAATAACATATAACCGGTTAGTGACGATTGCAATAGCTTTAAAATAATTTTTAATGTTATACTTTTACAGGTACAATAAGTGCTGCAAATAGTTGTCCAGCCAGCCCACGACAAGGTTTTCATCAGAACCAAGCCAATTATAACAACTATACCAACAACAATTTACAAAACGTAAAATTTACAACAACCATAAATTGTACAAATTAATTATTCAATATATTTAATGACGCGAAATTTTCTTTTCAGCAAGACCTATTCCAAACACCATCAACAGCTAGCTATAACCACAATGAGAAACCACCATATAGCTATGCTCAGTTGATTGTGCAAGCTATATCCGCAGCACCGGATAAACAATTGACACTTTCTGGCATTTATTCATTTATAGTCAAGCATTATCCGTACTATCGTAAAGAAACAAACAAGGGTTGGCAAAACTCCATACGCCATAATCTCAGTTTGAATAGGTAAACCTTTAAATAGGCATTGTATGAACCGTACGCACATGTCCTCCATTTACTTCTATTTATAGGTATTTCATTAAAGTTGCGCGCTCTCAAGATGAGCCGGGCAAAGGCAGTTTCTGGCGTATTGATCCTGATAGTGGCGCCAAGTTGATTGATCACAGCTACAAGAAACGGCGTCAACGTAGCAGCCAAGGTTTTCGCCCAACATATGGTATGCCACGTTCGGCACCAGTCTCACCGAGTCATATGGGTATGCAGAATTTCGTATATATTTTTTCAATAATTCTTTATTAACATTTTTTTGTATTATAACAATGCAGACAATTCGCGTGAGAGTTCACCACTGCAGGATTTCGTTTTACAATCGGCACCTGGATCGCCGGGCATGTCTATTGAGCAACGCGCAGCCGATGGTGGTAATAAGTCAACTAGCAAGCGATAGCGCGTTTGTTTTTCTTTTAGTATAATTACAATAAAATAATGTGCGTTGAATTGCAGATATTATGTACAACAACACAACTCAGAATATGCACCAATCGACGGCTAACAATTCCCACAATCAATACAAGTAATTTTTATTTGGTTTTCAATATTTTTTTATTGTATATTGTATCAATATATTTGTTTTAGTTCTTACTATATGAAAAACTGAAAGCATTGACTTCTCTGGCATAATACTTTTTTTTATACCCTGAACAAATTAAATTAAGTTTGCCATGCAGTTTGTAACACTCAGCAGAAAACGTCGGAGACCCTATCTATTATATATAATATATACTTGTATAAATGGCATGACGAGCTGAGTCGATTTAGCCATGTCCGACTGTCTGTCTGTATATACACGAACTGAGGGACTACAGTTTTTGAGATATCGATCTGAAACTGTGCTCTCGTCCTTTTCTCCCCAAGAAGTTGTTTATTTGTAGGCGCCGACGATATCTTGCCACTATAGCATATATGTGTGCATATAGCTGCCATACAAACTGTGCGATCAAAAATATGTATTTGCATGGAAAAATTTTTTATTTGAAAAGATATCTCTTTAGACTATAGAATGAAGGGTATTATAGAATCGGCTCCACCGAACTTAACTACTTTTCTTGTTACTGTGTAATATTTAAGTTTCTAAACGCTTTCTTCGTGCTAACTTTTCTGTGGCAACATTTTAAAAATAACTGATTTTGTTATTATATATTATTCATTGTTAATACTTATTAAAACGACTTTCATCTCTGAATAGTCGTTACATTCAAGTTAGCACCAATCTTACACTTTATATATTTAGTAATTTATTAATTTAAAAAAAATGTAAACTCAGCTCCATTAGAAACTCTCTTGGCGCATATACTCATTTGTAAAAAAAAAATCATTTCCAGCAGTAGCGGAAGTCCATACTATGTTTCAAATCAAAATTCAACTATTGGCAGTGTACAGCAGCAACAACAACAACAACATCTACACAATGAGAGTGGAGTGACCATTGGTGGTGGCAGCGGCAACGGTGTTGGTGCCTTGATAGCGCTCAAACGTAATCATGCTATGGCAGCTGGGGCACAACAACAACAACAACAGCATCAACATCAAGTGCAAACATTGCATCCCGACATTATATACGAGGAAATGCCAACTGATTACAGTGGTAATATGGAATCTGGCGATGAAGGTTGCAGTATTGGCGGTGGTAATGGCGCCAGCAGCAGCGCTACTTGTGACGCTTCCAAACGCCCCAAATATATATCCGAAGTACTCTGATATGTTGCTGTGTCCGTTTCAGTTTCTTCTAATGTTTGCAAGTAATTAAAAAACAAAAAAAAAAAGAATTCTACAAAGAACAAAAGAATGCAAAATATTAGATATTTAACTAATGACAAAGATTTGCCACACCATAATACCCCATACACATACACATACAACAAATTAAAAAAAAAAATAAACCTAAAGCACACAAAAGTTTAAATTTGCTATAAATGAAAAATGTAAAATGCGTAAACCAATTCGGAAATATGTAATACTTTTAACAGACAAATCAGCAATGTGTAAAACACTTCATCTTTGTGTTTTTTGTTTTTTTTTTTTGTTTATCAATCCTTCAGTATACGAAGACCATATTCAACCATTTCCACATTCAAAGGCAAATTGTCTATGAAACCTTGTATCAAGCTTTTAATAGTAAATAACTGTCTACAAATAGTAAACAGCGCTTTTGATGATTTACATGAATTTTAAATTTCGCTCGAAATGTCTTCTTTCATCTAAATTGACTGCAAGTATTAGATAAGTTCTATTTAATTATAATTAATACAAATACAATATATTTCTGAATTGGACTAAAGCGACATTAGAAAACCATAGTGGGTCAGAAAGTAGTAGAAGACATAATATAATAGCAGACACATTCACACACAAAACAAAATTGAGAAACATGTAAAACCAACATTACGATGAAGATATAGTAAATGAAAACTGTAAATCGGTATCACAAGAAAAAAATTAGAAACGCATGAAGCCAACGCAACCAAGAAACATAAACAACTTTATTACTATTATAACCCATCGGTATATTGAATTTGACAAGCAAAGTATGTGAACAAAAATAATAGTTTTATTGTTTTTAATCTTTCTAAAAAATATGAATATACAAACTACCTATATTGCTTTAATATTTGTTGTTGTAATGATTTACGCGTTTAACGATTATCAAAATTGTAGCCCTAGCATACTGTATAGATGTACTTGTATACTCTGGACGAATTCAATATGCTTGATGATGCTATATATTATACTAGAATGAATGGGAGTAAAAAATAACAAAAAAACAAAAAGTTATAAAATGCAAAATGCAAACAAAAAAATATATATAAACAACAAAAAAAGTAAAATCAAATTTAAAAAATTGTAAACTAATGAAAGTAGTACATTTTAAATGATGGGAAAAATAATTACTTAATATGCAAGTAATAAATAATAATGCTAAAAAAAAAAAATGAAGCAGCATATTTGGCAGAAAGCCTAGACGTTGTATACAAAACAAAAGCAAAGCTAGTAAGTTAAAGCAAAATAAATGAATCATAGTTGTGTGGCAACTGTAAAGGAGCAAAAGAATTAATTACCTATCTCTACATACCTACAATTATATCGAACCTAAATCTAGAAAAACAAATTACAACTAATACAAAGAAAGTTAATTTAAATTTAAAAAAAAATATATATTATAAAACAAGTAAACAAAAAGAAACCGCTACAAACAAATTTATGGTAAAGATAAATGTATAATGATGATTGCACTTTATTTCTATTATAATAAAGAAAACTCCATTTCAATGTTTGGACAAAATGTGTATTGAGAAAAAATACAAAGAATATAGATAATCTCTGTGTATTCTTCAATCTTCAAAATATCAATGTAAAATATGCTGTTTTGACTTGTTTACATTTTTTCTTCGCAAATTCTAGTGTAGTTTACTGATATGAACAAGTTAATCAAACATTAAGAGTTCAGTTACAATCAGGGTTGCAAATAATGCATTGCAAGAATAATTGAATTACATTTTTTTTTGTTGTCCCAAATGTGTGATTCAAAAAACAAACAAAAATTGTTAATCCCAAAAACCGAATTAAAATTTAAAAATAAATACGGGTTTGAAAAGAAAAAAATTATCCCAAGCATATAATTAAGATATAAAAAAGAAATGGTTTTAGCACAAACATTTTTTCGCAGTGCTCGCATAAAGCCATTATTTTCAATACTTTAGAGCACTGGTCGGCAAACTTACAAATTCAAATGTTTTCTATTTTATCAATTTTTAATTCTAATTTTGGTATTAAAAATTAAATGTTCAAGTTTTACCATTAAATTAAAAAAAAAAAATTTACAATTTTTAATATCAAACATTTTTGATTACAAATTAGATTTTGAGATTACAAATTAAAAATTGTCTTGGTTTAAAAATTTGATTTTTTTATTAAAATTTAAAAATCTAAAATTTAGTTCCAAAATCGGAATTAAAAATTGAAAATTTGATTTTAATTCCAACAACATGGATCAAAAATTGGAAATATCCGATTCCGAATGTTGTGCGAAATCCGCAACCCTGGTTACAATTTAGAAAAAATGTGATGACTAGCCTAAAAACGTACAACACAAATTAAAGTTCGAAATTTCATTTTTATTAAATTAAAACGTTTTAAACATCAGTGTTTTTCAATAAATATTAAAGTATTTTAGCGTAGCAAATACATATGAATACAATATGTTTAAAGCAGGATTTGTTTGAAAATGAAGTCTGGTATTTCTGGTTATTGTATGAAAACATGTGAATGTGCCTTATGGAAAAACAACCAAAACGACTGCGAATGAAGAACAATTAGTAAAAGCATTAAATATAAGCAAAAAATTATTATTTCAACAATCACAACGTGTACGTCGCGTATCGAGCAATTGTTCCATCCATTGATGTGGATTGGACTTGTCTACAATCTCAGAACGATGTAGTCGTTTCCCTTGTGACAACAATTCACAAAATTTAACCACCGTAGCATCGTAACCGCAAGTGTTAACACATGAGACATTACCATCGCGATCGAACAAATATGCCACATATTTTAAACGTTTTAAATCACCGTGTATGGAAGTTTCATATATACTACCAACACCAGCATGCAAAAACGATGCACCGAAGAGGTATATATTAAAAAATGGTACTACGCGTAGTTCTTGTATATGACCAGCCATATTTATGGCAGCCACATAACCATGATATTGTGCCACTTGAGAATGTTTAACGTTTTTTCTTTGATTATCATTCGAGAGAAGTGGTGCATTGGCGATATCACCACCCACATAGATGTTTGGCACCGGTGTCATTAAATTCATGTCCGTATCAATTGTGCCATCAGCATTTATCGGTAAGCTCGAGTCGATTAACCAAGTAGTATTAGGTATTACACCCACAGCAATGATTAATACGTCGCACGGATATTTATAACCATCAGTAGTTCTGATTTCGGAGATTCGAATGCCATCATCGCTTATTATTTCTTTAATTCTGCTTTCCATTTTCATTTGGACACCCTTTTCGCGGTATAACTGCAATAAGCGCTCACCGATATCACTGCCAACCGTGCTCTCTAGTGGATATTTCGTATTACTAATCAGTACACTCTGTTGACATTGAAATGATGATAAGTATTTTATAAGTTATAATTATGGAATTATGGGTAGGTAGAATTTTTTGCTATTTCTTAAAGTATAATATTTTAGAAATATGCTCTAAAATTCTTAAGTAAATCTGACAAATACTTTTCGAGTTATTCGATATTTAGCAGAGGTTTCTGGGGCGTTCTGGAACGTTCGTGTAAAACTTCAAATGCGTTTTTCTCGGAACTATTTTTTTGAACTGGTGACCACTGTAGCTCAAAAACAGCTCGGTAGATTTCAATAAAACAGCTTTGTCAAAACATGAAAAAAAACTAGCTGATCGAGAGATTTTTTTTTTTTGAATTTTGAATTTTCATATACCATCAACTTGTTTTTTTTTCCGAAAACCCATCATGTTAATTAAAAAAGGTTCGATCAGTCATTATATTATCTATTAATAAAATTAATTTCGTTTGTCCGATTGATTTTAGATTTTAGATGAGTATCAAAGTATTAGTGATGGGCACCGCAAGCAGCTTCGGTTGGAACTGAATTAACACAAAGTCATTACTTAAAAAAAAAAAATTTAATTTCTGTCAAGTCAAGTCCAAACCTTAGTTAATAATGCTATGTTTTTTCTTTTTAAAAATAAAATAATTTACTTGCAAAAAACATATTCTTAATTGCCAAATTTTTATGTTTCTGTCTACACCTAACCCCTAATATTATTAAATGCTATACTCACCGATTTTATTTTGCCTACTATAGAGGACACAAATTCCAAATTAATGAAACCGCCTCCTACACATACTAAATTAGTTTTTGGTTTTAACACATGCATTATTGTTTGGAGATCTTTATAGTCATGTATGGAGAAGACATTTCTTAAATCAGTACCGTTAATACCCAATCTACTTGGCTTCGAACCAGTCGCAATGAAAAGTTTATCATATATAATTAGTTCTTCATTGGAACAGCTAATTGTTCTCATGGCTGTATCCAAATTAGTTGCATCCACACCCAATATAAGCTCAATATTATTTCGCTGATAAAAATCGGTATCGCGAAAATGCAAATCAGCTATATCTATTTGCCATGCTTTTGATAGTGGTGTACGGTCGTAAGGTAAAGTATCTTCCCGACACAATATTATTATGCGTCCTGTGTAGCCCTCTTGACGTAATGTTTCAGCGCATGTAGCTGTTGCAATTCCACCGCCTACCAACAGAAATATACGTTCGTCAGCTTTATTGTGTTCCACCATCTCTTTTGTGCGCCGTATCTTATTAAGATCTTTGATTCTCGCACGCACTTTCACTTCGCCGTTTGTAGTTATTTCAACAGGATATGTTGGTAATGAATCTAAACCCGGAAAATCCTCTATATCGCCAGTTCTGATATTATAACAAGAACCATGACGTGAGCATCGAATACGTCCATGTCCTAATACGCCTCTAACCAAAGGCGCCCCTTGATGTGGACACGTCGCTCCGATGGCCCAGATTCGATCGTTTTGACGTATTAACAACAACTTATTGTTTTCGTCAAAGTTGTACTCCTTAACTTCGTCATTATTAATATCCGATTCATTGCAAATTGAAACAAAATCAGTGAATTCAGACATTGTTTGGCGTAAAATCTTTTCAATTAAAGAAATATTTTTCGATTTTTTGGTGCTGTCAAATAAGGTATGTTATTTTAAATTTGAAAATCAACTCTTGACATTTTCAGTTTATAGGAAATTTAGTTCAGGATGATACCGTGATTCAATAATATAGGGTTGTGTCGATAGTCCAAAAACAACAATTAGTCAAAAGTGATTCAAAAATAGATTTTTCAAAAAAACTATACAAAAAAGTTGATTTAACAGTAACACAACCTGTATACCATATAATTGTATCATTTGTGTTACTTTTCTTACACAATCAAAACAGCTTTATTAAAATCTCCATTATTACTAATTAATTTTGATTCATACCATGCACATTACCCAAAAATTAACGAAAGCTTTTTTGTAAAATAATGTGAATGAACTGATTTCAATTAAAGGCTTACAACTTCCTTTATTGCACTTCCGTTATTATTGCGAATTATTGCTCAATAACGCATGCAACCCTACAATTTGCCGTCATTTGTTCCATTTGGATTTCGCCGCAGTTCTGTTAGATTTTGTTTTAATTCATTCGGTCGAAAATCGACTTTCGCACTGTTTCGAACCTGTCGCATTTTATATTTTACTCGACGGACGCGAGTACAATTTATATTAGTAAAAAAATATTGTAAAACACTATTAACAATGCCTGCTAAAGCTGTTAGTGTAATCAACGGTGATGTCAAAGGTACCGTTTACTTTGAGCAGAAGGTAAGGGATCACTTTTATTACTATCTTAATACTTTGAGGGTCCAAGGTCATGGCACCGGCTGACATTGTGAAATCAAAATTGTCAAATCTTTAAGTAATTTGTTTCATATTATAAAAATTAAATAATTAACATAATATGGTGTCTTTTTACATACGCATAACATATATCATATTATATTACAAACAGTTTTTAACTGTATATAGGCATGAGTAAGCATTTTCAGTATAGATTACAAGCTACCAAAAATTTAGACAGGTACATTTAGACAATTATCAGTTTCATTGCGATGTGTTAATACATATGCATATGTATTAAGTAAAAGTGCGGCCGGGTATATGGAATGCGAGACGCCATTGTGGTTAAGAAATAACAACCAATTGAGTGCTTGTTATCAAATTTGTAATAGAATATTCAAATATATATGTAGAACTTATTTTCTGAAGTAGCTTATGAATATTCTAATGCATTGTAATTTTTGCTATCGCCTACTAATAGTATAATCAGAGATATGTAGGACTGTGGCATGCATTATATTGACTATTTAGGTATATATATATATTTTTTTTTATGTTGAATTGTATGATAATTGTATTCCGGATATATTAGCATATTATTTATGTATTTAGCTAAAGTTCATAAGTATACACCTCTATTATAACATGCATTTCTCCTCTACGCAATTCAACATAATTAAATCGGAAGTTATTTACATTTTAATACAGTTGAGAAAATTTTTTTATTTTTAAGGATGAGTCTTCACCCGTAACAGTGACTGGTGAAGTTTCTGGACTTTCTAAGGGTCTTCATGGCTTCCATGTACATGAATTTGGTGATAACACTAACGGCTGCACCTCAGCTGGACCACATTTTAATCCTGCTGGCAAGGAACATGGTGCGCCAACCGATGAAAATCGTCATTTGGGTGATTTGGGCAATATTGAAGCCAGTGGTGCTGGACCAACCAAGGTTTAAAAAGCATAATAATCCAAATTTACTTTATAATACTATTTTTTTTTTTTTTAATTTTCGCTAGGTCAATATCAGCGATAAATTAATAACATTGTTCGGAGCAAATAGCATTGTTGGACGTACTGTTGTTGTGCATGCTGATCCCGATGATTTGGGCAAAGGTGGCCACGAATTGAGCAAATCGACTGGCAACGCTGGTGCACGTCTTGGTTGTGGTGTGATCGGAATTTGCAAGAACTAAGTTTGCTTAAGTTGGAATTGTGTAGGCAGGATAAAACCATGTAATTCCATTAAACATATGGAATATATAGTATATACATATGAACATATTTAAATACATATGTTTTAAAATATTATATATCGTAACAAAATTAACTGATTTCTAACTGCATAAGATAACTTAAAGTTATCACTTACTTTTGGGTATAATTAGCATCTATAACGTTACAAATAAAATATATGTGGTGAATTGGAAAATTGTTTACTCCTTGATTTATTCATACTATGAGCTTGTTGTTGTTGTAGCGGCTTATCAAATGAGCAAATAGTTCCATATACATATGTAGAGAAACACTAAAGTTATTTCTCCGAGAACGATATCCTAATAAATTCCTTGAACTATATTTCACCTCTCTCATTCCTTGTGATTTATTTGTGTGCGTTTGCAACCAGATGAAAACAAAAATCATACACGTTTAGCATTAACGCATAATGATATTATATTTTTTTCCATATTTTTTTATTTTAATCATTTATATGCAATTGTAAAATCAATATCAAAGTAGTTTACTTTTACAGTGCACGCGCATAAATTACAATTAGAACGAATACAAAATAGAGATTTGCGCTACAATTTAATTTAACTATTTGCTGCTTCAATTTCTTTGTAAACTTCACGTTTGTATTCATCCAGGCCGCCCTCCATGCCGCGTACTGTACGATTGCCGCACACCCACAATTCTTTGCACACCACCTTAATGAGACGTTCGTCGTGAGATACTAATATTACACCGCCCTGTAGAAGTATAAACAAGTATAAAAAATTGCTTATAAGCAAAATGCATATTTATATTAACGGCAATCTAATTACCTTAAATGCATTAATCGCACGACCTAAGGCATCAATGGTCTCAATATCCAAGTGATTTGTGGGTTCATCAAGCACTAAAAAGTTAGGATCGGCTGAAATTTATATACACATTAGTAACAAAACATTCAAATAGCATTATATTATTTTATACCCATGCACATTTTTGCTAAAGCAACACGAGATTTCTGTCCTCCCGACAAACTAGCAATGCTTTGCAACGCTAATTGCCCTGATATGCCAAAACTGCCCAATTGCCGACGATATTCCTCATCTGGCCGTCCTGGGAAAAGTTCTGCCAATACACCCACACAAGTAGTATTCATATTTAGGTGATCAACATGATGTTGCGCAAAGTAGCCGATTCGCAGACCACGATGCGAGATAATATTGCCATGTATTGTAGTCAATTGACCAACAATAATTTTAAGAAGTGTGGTTTTACCGGCGCCATTTTCTCCTACCTAATAAAATTGAAAAATTATTTAATTTATGAAAGTAATGTTACAAACTAAAACTTACAATACATATTCTCGAATCTGAAGTTGCTGATAGATTCACATTTTTAAAAACGGGTAATGGATCTGTGTCTTTGTATCTAAATTCGATTTCTGATAAAGCTAGGACCGGGGGATTTAATGGTTCAACATCAGGGAATTTCAGTTTAACCTCAACTTCCTTTTCGACAGGCTTCAATTCGGGTCTAAAACAGGATACAAGAATTTATAAATATAATTTGCTAAAAATTTCATTACTTTTATTATCATTGTTTTTTTTATTTTTATTTATATAATAACTTACAGCTTTTCCAACATTTTGATTTTTGACTGTACCGAAGATGCACGATTTGCATTGTAACGGAATCGGTCGATAAACTCTTGCACATGCGCGCGGTGTGCCATTTGTGCTTCGTATTCGCGTCGTTGTGCCTTCAATTTCTCGGTCTTTGTCTTCTCAAACTGCTCATAATTACCTCTGTAAGAAAAATACACCACATATGCAATAAAAATTAGCCAGTCATTTTATATTAACTCACTTGTAAGCCTCAAGCGCCTGGGAATGTAGATGTATGATATCGGTTGGAACAGTTTCCAAAAAGTTACGATCGTGAGAAACAACTAACAATGTTGTCGGCCAAGATTGCAGATAATTTTCAAGCCATATAATGGCTTTTATATCCAACATGTTGGTCGGTTCATCGAGCAGTAGTAGATCAGGTTTGGAAAAAAGTGCACGGGCTAAGGCCAAACGCATGCGCCAACCACCGGAAAATGATTTAGTTGGTCTTTGTTGCATATCAGCATCGAAACCAAGACCACGCAATATAACAGAAGCTCGTGCCACCGCCTTATCAGCTTCAATATTCTGCAACTGTGCGTATACTTCATTCAACTCTGTACTTAACTTCGTGTCCTGTACGCCACTATTTAAAGTGGCAAGTATTTCCTTTTCGCGTGTTAACAAACGATTACGTTCAAGGTCACATTCCAAGACACTATCAACGGCTTTTGTATCGTTACCAACTACTTCTTGTTCCACATGCAATACGCTGATGTGCGAGGGTATCGCCAGTTGACGGTCTGAAATCATACGTAGAAGTGTGGTTTTACCCAGACCATTACGGCCGACAAGGCCGTATCGACGACCCAAGGACAGCAATAAATTGGCATTTTGCAGCAAAACTCTACAGTAAAAAATGTATGTATTTTATAGATATGATACGCGGAATCAAATTGATTGTTCAATTACTTATCACCAAATGCCAAATCGAAATTCTCTATTTTTATATCCATTGACCGATTTGTGCCTTTTAGCTCCATTTTTGTATTTTTCTTACTCAGCACTTGTGAGGCTGTGGCAGTTTGCAGTTTGACTGGTGCAGCAACAGTTGATTTCACAACATCCTGCCGCTTTTCCTGCTTTTGCTGTAGCTTTGCTTCGGCTTTCTCTAGCTTTTTGCTGTTCACTTTCTAGATTTATATGGGGAGCATAGGTAAACAAAATATAAAAATATTTTTTCAAGTACTCACCGATCCACCATCCTTCGTAGTTAGCCATATGCTTTGCATATTCTTATCAACATTTTCCATCTCTTTGGCCATAGCAGCAATATTTACGGGAGCATTTAATACTTTACGTACCTCATTTTTTGTATTCTTTTTAATTATGTTAAAAAACTCATCACAAAGGTCTCTGTTAGAGCAGAGGAATTCCATATTTACACACATGTTGTTAAAATTTAATTAGGTTCCAATTACCTTATGTTCTCCTCAGATTTTTCCATATCAATGCTTTGCAGAATATCACCAACAGCTTCGAATATGTCATCGCATGACTCAAAATCTTCCAAACTACCACATAACACACCTACAAATCAACGTCAGGTTTACCAAATGTACTCACATTACTTTATTGGGATTTGCTTACCCTCCACGTAATCCTTTAGCTCATTGTCAATGGCTGGAAATTCACGCTCCAAAATATCGGTGAATTGGCTCATATTTATGCCTTTGCGCTCTTTTTCAACTATTTTTTTTTTTTTGTATATGTTATGCTTTCACTAGCAACAAATAAACGCACACGATGAATATGTGTACTATTGAACTGGATTACCCGACAGCAAATTTAACCGAATTTTTGTTCTACACAATTTTAGTAGCACTTTAAATGACAACGTTACTCACTATTTATATAAGTTAACATTACCACAGTGCTAAATAAAATTGGAGCGATATTTTGCACAATTTAGCAACAATTTGTGCAGAAATCGCTACACGCAAAACGCAGGAAATCGGGAAAGACCAGATAACCAGATAATCAGACAATTCCACCAGCTGTATCAGTGACAATTGTGAGACGTCAGCCATATGTGGTGTTGCCATTCTATTGAAATTTTGCTCTTACGACATATACCATGATATAGGCAGAGAATGCAGATATTTTACATTCTCTGATATAGCTGTTAATGGTATATCAAGCGAAAACTGAACTAAGAAAAAGAAATAAAAAGAAATTTTTGAACATGTTTTCTTAAAATATATTTAATCAGTTTTATATTCAAACTTTTAAATCCTGTACAGGAGAACGCCAAGAAGAAACCCCGGAGACTCTATAAAATATATATCAGACCATTATAGCATATAGCTGCCATACAAACTGTCCGACCGCCTGTATCGGACTACTTTAGCATATAGCTGTCTAACAAACAACAACAGCAACCGATATAAATCCAGCCTTTGTATGGAAAACCATTCTATTTAACATGATAACTTCATGAAATTTGACATGGATTATTGTCCAAGGCAACGGTATAATCTATGAAGTGATTGTTCAGATCGGAACACTATAGTAGTTTACGGCCAAGCAACCGAAGCTCAAGTTTTTTCTTGTTTTTTTTATATGTACCTTCGCTTACTGAATTATGGAGAGAATGCCGTAATATTCGCAGTCCATTAGAGTTAACTAAAAATTTGTCTGGAACCAATTCTACCTTTGCCATCGTTACAAAAACTCGAAATACCAAACACACTTTCAGATTTTTCAATGAAAAAATATATATTTTTGTTAAATTTGGAAAAATAATCCATTTTTGTTTTTACAATAGTTTAACAACAAATACTTATGGAAGGAAAACAAGTTAATATGTGAAACTTCCATAGTCTAAAAATAGACAAGCAGTTAGTAAGTTTACAAAAAAGGCAATTATTATGCTATTTTTAATAAAAATTATACAAGTGCTGCTAACAACTAAATAAGCAATAAAACAATTCATATAACTCAAGGGAAATGTATATAAAAATACAACAGCTACAGTAATTGAGGTTCGAGAAATTCATTAAAAAAATACAACTAATATAAGTTAGTCAAAAATAAATATGCGAATTCCAAAATAACATTGTTTGCGGAGGAAATACAAATTGTCTAAAATCGAATGGTCGATAAATTTTCCATTAATAAATAAACAACTTAAATTGCTACAATTTTAATAATAATAGCCTAAGCATGCGCTAAAAATATTTTTAATAGTGATATTTAATAAAAAGAAAATAACAAATAATTCAATATATACTTTTCATATAAAATGGATATGATAAAGTGAATTTCATTTCAATGTCCCAATACCATACATATTGATACATAGGCAAGTTTGTATATCCAATATGCGTAAATTTACAAATAATTAATTGATATATGTATATATAGTACATATACATATATGTATATATAGTATATACATATAAATTATCAGATATTATATATTGATCGCTTTTGTGTATGTGTGTGTTAGTTTACATTTTTACAATATAGTCCCCCATCCTGTAGTTGGGTACTATTTTCAAACTTAATTAACCTAATTCTAAGATGAAATATATAATTCATAGACTTCCTGCCATTTTGAACTCATTTTATGTTTTATGTGTTAAGTTGACTCATTGGTCGTTAAAGATGACGTGCTTGTTATTGTATTGTTGTTTGTAGTGTGTGTGATTGTGTTAGATACAACTATAGCAACTGCAGTCGCTTGTGATTTTCGCTGCCTTGCACCGCGTCCAGATAGTAGATATGATAAATCGATGCGCTGTTCACTCACAGCCATTTGAGTATTCTTCCATTTGAGTTTCATTGTTTCGAGTACAGATTCCAAGCGGTTGCGTTTTTGTTTTATGGTCTAAATAAATTAAGCGTTAAAGTTCAAAAAGGCTTTACGAGTTAAACAAAAAAAATGGGTATTGCTTAAAGTTACCTGTACGTTTAGTGGTGTTGGAGAAATTATATGTACTATTGCTGGACTGTTATTATTTTGACGTTTACGAGCGCTGTTCTGTGGTGTTTTATACGGAGTTTGTCTACCGACTGAAATATTAGAGGGTACATCCAAGGCACACGCAGATGTGGAGACGGGAGTCACTGATCTGTTGCACAGGGTTCTAACATTCGATACAGGCTCATTCTCAGTCTTTTGTCGTTTCGATTTCAATAAAGCTGGATCAACGTCATGTGGCTACAACATTTTAAACATTTTTGATACAAAGTTTGATAAAACCTATAGTTCACTAAATACAAAATTATAAGTAAAATAGTTGACTTACCGCATAGCTTTTAGAAATTTTTAGCTTTTCCGGAAACTTTCTAAATGCATAGGTCTTTGTACAAGTCGGATAATTGACTTTAGCTTTCGAGAAGAAGCGCGCCGTTTTGTCTACACGCAGTTCACAAATGTAACAATGCGTCTCATCGGTACACTCTACTGGTCGACCCTTGCAGAAAGTTGTGCGATCAAGCACCCAACAACGTCCGATCACCAATTCGATCGGTACAATTTCATAGAGTGGCACGCGTACCACTTCATTCGGATAGAAACGACGCGATGGTTCGTGGAATGTCTCATGCGGTCGTAAAAAGTGATGACCGAATATGAAACGTTTACCCTCCTCATTTTTCCACAAGCGTTCGACACGAAAAATATCGCACTCATTGTAGTCAATAGTGCCGATCGTTTCGTATGTATGCTTTTGTTTCGGTACCACATTACCGGCTGCATCCTTGATGGGTATATCGCGTAATACATAAACAGCATCGCCTTGACGCACATGTAAATCGCCACGCATCAAAGTCAAATAATAACGGTGACCTTCTTCCGTATAATCGTCCAGCGGTATTTCACGGTCAACAATGCGCGGCTCGCAACGTTCGCAAAGATAGTTGTCCGCATTCACGTCCGCTTTTGTACATTCGGTGTGCTGCCAAACCATACAACGTGCACATTGTATCATTAGACCCTCATCTTTGTATAAACCGCAAATGCAACGTATTATGTCTTCATTACATGTAGGTGTAATAACGCTGGTGGTGATGTCGTTAGCTACATGATTTGGCGTTATAGAGATAATGGACTCAAACATTTTGTCCTTAGCATCCGCCAATATTTTTGTTTGATCACAGAAACCCTTCAACATGGATTCATCGCCACCCACAATCTCCAATAAACGTTCGTAAGATTCTGCCTTCTTGCGCTCATATGCTTTGATGAGTTCCTGCAATGCATTCTCATTTCGACTACCCTTTACAATATGGCGCTGTGCTGCTGAAAATACTTGCTGCATATCTGCATTAAATTCAGATGGTTGTTTGTAGTAGCCTTGCTCAATGTTGCTCTGTACAGTCTTCAAGTCCGGTACCTGTGTTTTTGGTGGCGCTTTCAGCGCTTTCTTTTTCTTATTAGCACCTGTAGCATTACTATTGCTAGCAATAACATCGGTCTCATCGCCTTCATTGCCGCCGCCAATTTGATTCGAAGCGCTTGCGCTTAGCGTTAGCGCAAAAACTGCAATATTCTGCTTTTGATCAGTGGGATCTTTAAGCGTTTCAAGTGACGTGCAAATATCACGTAGTATAACTGCAATTTTGGCCATTTTTTCCACCTCTGGATCCTGCACAGCGTGTGTCAGGCCACGCGTCTTAATGCTACGTGGCGAACGTAAAGCCGATATTTGTGCTGCCAATGATGCTGGCGTCGATGGTCGTCGAATTGTGATTGCCGCTGAGCTACTAGCATTTATGGGTGAACCGACGGGCATATGAGAATTCGGTGATATGCCATTTACTTTCATTTCACTTGTCATTTTTGCTGTGCGACGTGCTTTGCAACGACGTATCTGAAGATGAACAGATATAGTATTGAAAATAAGTCAAAAGTGGCAAAATTTCATTAGGCCATACCTTTTCGAAATTGCGTACCAAAAATATACCGTGTTGTTTGACCATTTTTTTCTCCTTTTCGGAAAGCTGCTGCACAAGTGCGACTACCACATCTTTCGAAGGTACACGATCGGTGTTCTTGCGCGCCTTGCGTTTACGTTGGCGTCCATTACGAGCATCTTTCACTGTCGGATCGGTGTGCTGTCGTAAAAAATAATTATAATAGTTTTTTTTTCAATTCAATTCTTTTATTTTAATTTTATATGACTGAATGCTTACCTTCGCTTCAATTGGTAGCGGTTTAATACGTTGTGATTTGCCGCCGATTACGCCACGACATTGTGGTGTATTACAACGACATGGCTGTCCTTCCGATGGATTAAACAGCGAAAAGTTATAATCATATGAAAGTTCTTCACCCGGCTCTATGTTTCGTTTAGCGAAGAGCGCCATGCGTGACAATCCATTAACGGACCATTTTTGCATCTCACAATTCGGCTGACACGAGTGATTCACAAAACGTCCATCACTGCCCATACGATGACCATCGATGACCAAACCACCATCCAAATGCAAGCAATAGTGATGCGTATCATTTAGATAGATGGTACCCATGCGATCTTTGAATTCACGCTCTGTCACCACCTCACCCACATATTCCAGTATGTAAGTGCCCTTGACAATCGGCATTTTAGTGCGCACACCCCAACCTTTGTCGGTGGTCATGAAGCGTTCCACACCAGGCGCTACTTCATGCCGCTGAATCTTCTGATTTCGGCATTTTTCGCGTGACGGACAACTTGAAGGTGAACACTCGGTGTATACCATGCGATTCAAGCAATTATCGCCGCAACCTTGATCCGGCTTGCAATTGCAGGTGGGATGATCGATACCAGCCGTATTAGGACGCACAGCATCAGCATATATATTTGTGCGTATTTTACGATAATTCCACGAAGGCACAGTGATTCTTGTGGGCAACTTGGAGTTGGTATATGCCCACCAGATGTCGTAGGGTAGCTGAAAATCAATTTGTGTACGACGAAAGTATTGTTCACAATAGGGTGGCGGTAAAAGCGAAGGTGTTACAGGTGTAATTGGTAGGCCATTGTTGTTAACAATATCAGTAGTTGAATTATTGCTGACTTCACTAATTGCTAATGTTGTGGACGCTGATTGTAGCTCCTTTCTATCCGTCGATTTTTTAACGCCTAAAGGTATATTTAGTTGTTTGAAATAATCGGAAAACAATCCAGCAGGCAAATAGTTTTTCTTTAGACGTGCAACTTTACGTACTGAAGTCGCGCTGGCGCTACTCGTACTCGTTACATTTGTGGACGTAGAACATTTCTCATCACTGGTATCACTTGTAGCTGCCTCCGAGTCAATGAAGGGCGTTTCACTGCGCGGCAAAATATCCTGTTCCGGATAGTCCAGATTTGAGTCTTTAGCAGCGGCTTCAGCAGCAATTTCCTCTGGTGTAGATTGTGGCATATCTTTGATGATGCTGCTATCACAAATCGAGTCCATGCTCTGACGAAGTACTAGTGTTGGTTGTGCTGTACTCGGACGTTTAAGGCGTATTTTACAACTAAAATTTGTGTTTGGATCGATACCAGCGGGCAATTTAACTTTAGCCTCCAATGATTTAGCGGTAATAATTTTATGTACAGTTGATTTACTAAAGCTTGCCGGACGATCTGTAGTCTTTAAAGTGTTTACAGTTTTCCTAGTTGACTTTGTGAGTGCTAACGGCGATTGTTTGCTACTTGTTGTTATATCCACTTTGGTCTTCTTGCGTTGGTTGTCTGGTGTAAATAGCGCAGGTTGTGTAACAGTTGTTGGTAAAATTGCAGCTGCTGACAGTTTGGGTTTACGACCACGTGCTCTCGGCATAGCATTGTTAGTTGCGACTAAAGGCTGCACTTTCTCAACTGGCAGCGCTTTGGCAGCCTGCACCACAACATTTCTTTCAACGACCTTCGTTCTTTTGTTAGATTTAGGAGTAGCGGTAATCGCTGAGTTGTTTACAATAGGCTCTGTTGATTGCTGTGCAGCAGTTTGTATCACTCTAGATTTGCGAGATGTCACCTCAGTGTGTGCAGCTACTATATGTTGTACTTCAGGCGTTGCGCTTTGCGCTGTACCAGCTGTTGCGCCTATGGCATGATCGCTTGTAACCTTTGAAAGGTCTGCGGTAATTTTTGGTTTACGTCCAGCACGTCCCTTAC